TGTGTGTGTGTGTGTAGTTTCATTTAATTGCTGAATAGAAACCCACATTCAGTGGTGTGGCTCGGGGAATTCTTATGGCCATGTGTTGATAATGACGTGAAGATTGAGGGGGCAATCCTAATCATATTTGAATCTAAAAACTAATAACGTTTCACAGACAAGGCACTCTCTGACCTAATTACAGTGTGGGAGTACCCCACTGACACACCATACTGTTGTCGCATAGACCCTCACAAGTGCACATCTCCCATTCTGCACTTATCTCTCTTTCTGTATCTGCATGTATCCACCTCATGCATGTACAGACATGTGTAGTGCAACCCCCCAGCACACACACCTACACACACACACACAATGCTGTCTTCCCCAACACCATCAGGCTAAAGCTACTGGTGTGAATCGAATGGAATCGGCTTAGTGGTCAGCTTTCTTGAATCAAAGCTTTTCTCTCTCTTTTTATCCTTCATACTCTTTTTTTCTGTCTCCCCCACTCCCTCTCTGTTCTCTCTTTCCCTCATCATCAACGCATTAAGCCACTGAGGAGAAACAGTAATTGATGGATGCCATTTAACGAGTTTACACACGGGTACATCCTTCAATCATTCCAATGAATGAAGAATCTGGGAGAACCAGTGAAGCTGAAACTCCGAGTAACATGATGGAATGCTTCCCTAAATTAGTTTTCTTCATGCAAATGTATTCAAACCAGACAAGGCAATCTATGCAGCCTCAGCCACTGAGGGAATTATGTTTGAATAGTGTTTTCACATAAAATGTCATTATTGGGAATAAATCGATTACCAGTGGAGTTGCAGGTAGGCAGGTTCTCTGTGGTGATTTCTACTTGCATCAGATCAGATTTTTATTACTGTATAAGTTCAAGGTGGAGTGGAATTAGCAGCAGCCTAGTGATTCAGCTGATCAAATGTGTACTTACACTCTCTCTCTTGCTCTCTCTCTCTCTCGCTCTGCTCTGCTCTCTCGTTCTCAAGCACAGGACATCACGACACACACACAGCTTCATCAGCAGACCATAACCAGATGAAGCCCATAAATCCTGTGGCCAGCCAGGTCTGACACAGACAGGTCAGCGCTTCTTGATGCATCAGAGGGATGCTCGAGATAACACACATACATCACCAGTAATAACACAGACAAGCCTGTTGGCTTGCTGCTGTGAGGCGTGTGTGTAACTGTATGTATGACTGAAATAAAACAGGCATGGCATGGCTGTTATCTGTTTCTGTTCACCAATGTGAACCTCAATAACCGCCCTTCAGCATGCAATATAGAATCGGGACTGAAACCAATTGGATGGAAACATAGATATGCATTGATTCTGGAATGAAAAACCAGGCAATGAAATGCCAGATACACAGGGTGGGTAGAGTGGATATTGAATGTATTTATAGATGCCCTGAGCATGCAACTATCTATCACGCATAACAGAGAGGGCCACTAAAAGAAATGGGGGGGTCTGGGGAGGGAGGTTTGTTGCTCTAAGTAGGTCAATAAAAGATGTACAGTGAGTCTCGTCGGCACAGACACAAGCATAGACCAAAATAGGAGCACCCTGGCTAACCTCTAGACAACATATAATCCTGTCAGAGGTGAAAAAACAAAACAAAAGCAATCTGAGGCTTGATCCTGTGGCATAGGAGGGTTGTGTAAGACAGATAGGCCCAAAATGGTGTGACTGCATGGAAAGCTAGTTGCGTAAGTGTTGTGCAGTAATTCCAGGTAGAGGGAGGGACGTGAGCAACATGGTGTCGTGTAAATGCTTTGTTAGCGTTAGACGTGGAGAGGAGAGGATTATAGCACTTGTGCTGAGCTGCCTGCGTCAAAGGATCAGGCTGGAGGATAATTCAGGTCCGTTCTTTCTTTCACCACAGCTCTCGTTCTTTCTATGATAATCAACAATATGTATCAATCTGCTTCTGTTTTTTTCAGGAACATGAACACAAATGCTTGTTCATATAAAGACTGAGCACCTTCCAATTCACCATTTCTGTGCCGTAAAGGCAGCTGATAACGGCCTCATTTCATACCAGCAACAATGGGGATCAATCAAATGTTTGAATAAACCCTGCTACCTACTGGTCTGGTATCCAGCCATATGATTAAGGGTTTATTAGGCTTTATTAGCTGCACACAAAGCAACAGAGCACAATGCAGCTCTCTTCATCTGAAGAGCATGACTCTTTGTAAGATCTGGAGTGAACAAGCTAATTAACCTGGTTTCTCCAGGATCAGCCCCTTGAGAATGAGACAGAATGTGTGTACGTGTGTGTGTGTGTTTTGTCTGAATGTGTATCTGTGTGTACTCTCTCTTTTGTGCATGTATGTATGTGTGTGCTTGCTTTTCTGTATCCCCACACTCCAGGGAGTTTAGGGTGAAATGGGCGAGACGTGTTGCTGCTTCACTTCTCACACTTCATTAACACATCGCCGTGGCACACATCTGACTACAGACACAGCGCGGGACAGGACAGAAAAAGAAGTGGTGAAAGACCCGAGATCAGCGATCGATTCCTGCGTGCACTAAGATGAATACCAAGAAGGATCATTTCAAATGCTTGTTATTTGGTATTCTCTTAGAAATTGAAGATGTAAGAGGGGGATGGTGAGGAAGCGGGGGTGCATAGAATTATAATCCTCCACCAAAACAAAAGCTGTCTCTCCCTCTCTATCTGTCTGTGCTGCCTTGGTGCAATCCCTTTCATCTTCTTGTTTTCAAGGCTGGAGCAAATCAAAGACTAGATGACTGCTGTACAGACCAAAATCCTGTATCTACAGTGACCTTATCAAAAAAAAACATGAAGTATTGCGAGTGATGCTGTTTCCTTGACAGGACACAGGAATTAGCTATCAAAACTTACAAATGCATCCCATTATAAAGTCCTGAAAGGTCAAACATTGCCAAGCCTTCAGGCTAGCAGTGCACCAAATGACTCACAAAATAGATCTACCATCTATAAATCTACTGACCAGGAAGCAAGTTGAGAAATAGGATTTTTTTTAAATCATACTACAGTAGCAACACCACGGGTATTCTTTAATAAATTCTCATTAAAATTTCATGGCGCTGCAGACTTAATAAGAAGCTAATCAGGGGATGAAAGCAGCTGCGAATAAGGAGTGTGACTCGCCCCAACTTCACAGCTTGCCATTAAGAACCCGCCACCCCCACACCACCCCCATACACACACATAGACATTATCTTTCTTGCGTTATGTGCCGAGGCGGGGTTCAGCGTTTTTGAGTGTTTCGTAGTGAATAATGGATGGGACCTGGGGGTATGGTGGGCTAAGTCTTTTTATGCCGGGGTCCTAAAGTGTGGCCCCAGGCCGTTTGCCTTGGCACAGGCAACCAGCCGCTGCTCTGCTCTCATCAGCAGCTGCAATAAAGGCTGTGAGCTCTCTGTTACGGGACTGCATCAGTATTCAGCGGGGCTAGAGGGGTCACATCACACACAAGCTTGTACTCGCATGAGACACACATATAAGCAGAAAGAGGTAGAGAGAATGAGAGAAAAGAGGGGGTAGGGGAGAAAAGGAGGAAGGGATTACATGTCCTACCAATAGATCTTTAGGTCATTGTTCCGGTGGCTAAATTGTAAAGGACCAGAAATCAATACCAAAGCAGACATTAGGTTAGGTCCTGCCTCACAGCAAGGAAGCTATTTACATTTTTATACCCAAAGTGGTGTTTGGCTATTTGGCAATTTCACCCATTAGAGAAACATCCAAGGTGCAGATTATGAAAATTAACTGAGACCCATCTTGTCGGAGCGTAACAGTCCATTGACTCAACACACACTGATATGCACAGCAGCAGTGAGACACAAACCATCCATTCTGTCACCATTAGCAATGTGTCATCTGCAGGCGGCTGGTGAATGCAAATCAGACTGTAATGCAATTTTCTTTCATCTAGA